TGTATACACACATATCAGAGAGTTTAGGGGTGATAAAGCCACACAAACTCACCACAACTCACAAATTCTTGCATTTTTTGTTGCATTGAGAAATGCTTAAGTCATACTCAACTCGTGTTGAATCCCCATTTTTCTTCATTAAAAACAATTCTTACATATTTTAGAAATCATGAGCATCACCATTTGTTGCTGGGTGAAGTCACCATTGGCGACATCAACACGTTTCAAGCCCAGGAAGGCAGCAGTTGTGAGGGCACTGCTCCTCCTTGGCGCCTGGCGCGAGGTGAAAAGCCGACGTGGTGAAACTCCCGAGGCGCCAACGGTGGGGACGACCGTGGGTTGTTTGAACAACGTTTGAAAAGATGGGATTAGAATGTGTACATATATATATAATATTATGTTGTATTATATATATAGATATGATGTAAAGAAAAAAAATATATATATATATATATTTACCAGTAGTACCGCACAAGGCGGTGGCAAAAATAGGAAACCTATAGGAGAAGTTGGTTGTTGTGAATCAGGGATGGCAGAGCGAAGCCACTGATTGACCGAAAGGTGGTTGGAGTTGTGTTTGCTGGAATGGTTGCAATGGTTGCAGTGGTCACCTCACCCACAACTGCTGGATGTAGTGTGATGTACTGCAACTGTAGTTGTAGTTGTAGCGTTGTAGTTGTGGTGTAATGTAATTAGTGTAGTGTAGTTGCAGTCATATGGTTGTAGCTGTAGTTGTTTTGTAGTTGTAGTTGTAGTTGTTGTAGTTGTAGTTGTTGTGTGGTTGTAGTTGTTGTGTAGTGTAGTTGTAGTAGTAGTGGTAGTTGTAGTTGTTGTTGTTGTTGTTGTAGTTGTAGTTGTTGTTGTTGCTGTTGTTGTTGTAGTTGTTGTAGTTGTAGTTGTTGTTGTAGTTGTTGTTGTTGTTGTAGTTGTTGTTGTTGTTGTTGTAGTTCTAGTTCTAGTTGTAGTTGTTGTGTAGTTGTTGTTGTAGTTGTAGTTGTAGTTGTAGTTGAAGTTGTTGTTGTTGTTGTTGCTGTTGCTGTTGCTGTTGCTGTTGCTGTTGGTGTTGTTGTTGTTGTTGTAGTTGTAGTAGTTGTAGTAGTTGTAGTTGTAGTTGTAGTTGTTGTGTAGTTTTTGCAGTTGTAGTTGTTGTAGTTGTAGTTGTTGTGGTTGGTGTTGGTGTTGTTGTTGTTGTTGTTGTTGCTGTTGCTGTTGCTGTTGCTGTTGCTGTTGTCGTCGAAGTTAGGATAGTTAAGTTAGTGAAGTTAGTTAAGTTAGTCAAGTTAGTTAAGTTAATCAGCGTCTACTTTTTCGACATCTTCACGTCAAAAAAGGCTCAAAACCCTCAGTTTTTTTTACACTTTTGACTTCGAAATGTGCTTCGCGCCACAACGGCGTGCACTTTTTTGACACTTTTTCGACATCTGAACCTCCAAAAGTGGTCCGAGACCGTCAGTTTTTAACACTTTTGACTTGGAAATGTGCTTCGCGCCACAACGGCGTGCACTTTTTCATGTCTCATCTGGCCAGCTGGCTCTGCACCCGCCGCTTTAGCGAGCCTACTTTTCGACCCTCCGGAGCCACAAATCATTGGAAAAACACAGTGAATCGCGACTTTCCTATCTTTTCGCGCATCTACTCTTCTTTCTTCTGATCTTGTCTCTTCTGACTCTTCTCACCTCTGCTTTTCAACTGTCCATATTGTCGGAAGTTTCACTTCTAAACTTCCTTCGATTATATGTGATTTGGCATGGATGTACCGGAAATCTTGGGTTTATCATCCATTTTGTTTGTTACGATCGCCGTCCTTCGGAGTATATCTCCAGCAGCATTTTTGGATGGATCCACGTCAGTGGCTGCCATTTTTTTCTGATTGGCTGCGGGTGGGCAATTGTAATCGGCCCGGGATGCTGCACAAAGATGTATTAATACAGTAGGATGTAGGATTCTATGTTTACTGATTTTTCTCAGCTTATATTTTTCCCTGCTCCTAACTCTATTGTATAGCTATAAATACATTTAGTAAAAGTCTTAACCTACCAGCCGTTCAAGCAAGATCGACAAAGTGGTGCCATGTCCGCTTCAAATTCAGCCTCTCCGCTTTTTAAACCCCGCAGGAACTGGCCGTACGCTTTCAGAGACGTTGGGGAGGCTATGATGAAATCTTAAGGGTCTTTGAAGAGGACGCACGACGAAAGCAGGAACCATTTGGCATCACGACTGGGCGTTTCCGCACGTGAAACGTGCCCTGGCCGGGCCCTCCGTTGTGAAATTGCTTGCTGGATTGTGTTGGTAAACATCACTGGGTTATGTAAGTGGGTGAAAAAAATGAGTTTAATTGGATGTGTTTTGAAACCAACTCATATAGAAACTACCGGGGCACAACATGTTTTCTCCATCCTGCATGGAACAATGACGCCATGAACTGAGCAGATATTTCAGACTGGGTTGAAACCACCAACCATGATGTGGTTGAATTTAGCCACAGAAAATTGATGTTTTCACGGATTCGTTTGCCACCAAACTTGGGGGTTAGTCCTTGGGAATTTGAAATTCATTACTAAACTGCTAGAACCACGGGCAACACAATTCTTTGTGTTTGCCCTGTGTTTCTGCCAATACTATGCAAACTGGGAATGATTATATGATCATCGCATTTTGTGAGGATGACACCGACACACATGTACGCACACAAACACACGGCTTTATATGGTTTGATGTGTGTACATATATATATATAGATATACACACACTTAAAATAGTACATATATATATATATAATATGCATACATGTGCGTGTGCACATGTATTTCGGCAACAGCAACAAAGCTTCAGATATAAACAGTTTGACGAGACAGGATGACACCATGTTTATTCGCAATACGATGCTGGTGGTTATCATCTACGATAGTCGGGGATGTCATTATATAGTAACGCAGATGTCATTGGCAAAAGTTCGCAAAAAGATGAGGGTACTTGGATGGCCGTTACACCGCAAGTGGCGAGTGATTATGGGTGGCAAATTTCTCTCCACATTCCGAGGATCACCTTTGAAGATAAATGTGTTACAGCAACGGTTAGTGTCAGCAGGGATTCCAGCTGGATTGGCCTGTTAGCACCCAGGAAAGCAGTACAGCCTCAGCTACCTGCTGTTAGCTCTTCCTCCTCTTCCACGAACTGAGCAGCGGTAAGATGCGGCCAGCTATCCGGGGAGGAGTGTGTGGCTCAGACTCTGTTCGCAGCATCACTGGAGTGGAAGTGAGCTGAGATCCACCATAGCTTTCAACAACGGCTTCTTGGGGATTCTTTGGGCTACAATGATTCTGTGATATTCTGTGCACTTCTCCAAAAACATGAGCTTTTCCAGTACCTTTTAGAGCCTTGTGATCAAATTCTGATGTGCTTTGGCGGATGGAACGTTCTGGCCAATGACAACTCTAGCCACTGGTCACCGCTGCGCATGCTGCGCTATGGTTAATCTGCCCCACGCATTCCTTCTGCCGGCGCAAGCAACAGACTTGGGTCGGCGCACTGTTGACGTCCCAGGTTTGGTTTGAGGGAGCATTTGCAGGAAACAATATATGAAAACCACATGAAGAGCCTACAACTTCCATCAACTTCGAACATCAATGAAGAACTTTGCCGCTTGCATGTGTTCCCTTTGATCAGGCCTGTGATTATTACACCCCTACCGTTTAACAAGATCGGCGGGGGAACGTCGGTTCTTGACCAGCTTTTTTTGGCCATGCAGCATTGCCTGAGTAGGACGCACACGGACTGGACGTGCTTTGCGCCGCCTGGAAGCTGAGGCAAAAGAAAGACGACATGATGGGAAATTGAACCCACAGAAAATTCAAATCATGACTCCATTCTGGATCAATTACAATGACCTCACATCATGACGTGACTAGAATGATTGTGTAGGCGAATCATCCCCCAATGGCCGCATGATAACAGCTATTTTCAGGTTAGTGAATGATTACAATTCAGCCAGATGATATTCACAAGAACCATGTTCCACACAGAGTTGCCCGCTGGGCAGCATGTTCATCTACTTATGGCTGAAACTTGTGTCATTTTGGTCAACCGCTGGCACAGTGTGTCGATTCTGCCCGGCAATGCTTCTTGGTTTTAGCCGCTGATTTCTCAAGGTTGCCTACGCGCTGGTTTCATGTTGTTTCGTTTCACCAAGTTGAATGCCACGGGGGTTGGAAGAAGCGCATCTTTTCCAGGGCTAACCTTTGGCAATCAGAAGTGATTACAAGTGATGTACAGGGCATCGTTGGGTGTCTCTCGTTTTTGCCAGCAAACTTGTTGGCAAATTGCACGGCAAAATTTGTTCCAGAGACACAGGTTTCATTGGATGCAGTTGGTGCATGTTTGGTCATTTCTTTTCGCCATTGGGCAGACTTTCTTTTTCAGACTCGAACATTTTTTCAATTTGATGATGTCCTTGTTGCAATATGCGTGTGTCCAAAAGAACAACTTCATACAACTTCGAGATCCACCTTAGTAGCTTGTGTTGATGAGCATTTTCGAAGCCATTCCAGTTGGGACCTCTTATTTTTGGACACACCGACACATCCGTTTCAAGGCCATTGCAGCACCGTTCACCGTTTGCGGTGAACAGTTTTGACTGCGCCTACCAGGTGCAGCTCCGAAGGTTCGGCCGCGGTCGTGGAGCTGTGCTTTAAAAAATGGACTGCCAGCACTGCCAGCTGCCAAGGTGACGAAAGAACTCTTGGGATTTTGGCTGCCAAGCAGTGCAACTTATAATGGTTGGTATGGATTTTGTTGCCTCCGGGGGCTTCTTCTTTGGAAATCAGATATAGGTAAATTGTATAGATAAATACTTATTATTATAATAAACTATGTATAAATCATGTATGATTTTTTGGGCCAAAATGAAGTGCCCTAAGTTTGAACCTGTATTTCCGCAGCAAACCTCGGCCCGCACCACGAACGGCCCGGCCCCGCCTCCCCAGTTTTGACGTTTGGGGGTCATGGCCATGGATCTTGCCAGGCAGGGCGGATACATCCAGTGGTTAGGAGCGTTTAGGAGCCATTGGGGTACATATACTCCCTATTAAGTGGGTATGAAATAGGGAGCCAGTTGGAGCTACAATCAGAGTTTTCCATGTTTTCCCAAGCCCATGATAGTATACACAGACACACATGTGATCATTGTTATCACTTGAGCTGTATGATGTTATCACATAGGTATCAAATCGATATGTAAATCTACTTGCCACGCAAAGATCCTATATATTTCATGAGTTCCACTGATTCCAGAGGGATTTGGACCCAACGAGTTGTGCAGCATCCACGGCAGGTTGAAGACTTGCGAGGAAGCACACGGATCGCCTCATTCAGGTGGGAATCCGTGTGCCCTCCAAGCCCTCCAAGCGGCAGATTTGGGCGGAAGATGTGTTAGTAATATGATAGGGTTATATATAATGTATATTATGTTTATTGTGCATATCTGAAATCTATAGTAGATTTAAAACATTGTAATTAACTATATATATATATCAGAAATGTTCATAACATAGATGTTGATGTACATGTACCAGATCATTATTATGTACACGTACACGTTTCATTTTGCTGCCGGCGGCCAACACTTGCAAGAAACAACCGCTCAATGAAGGTGGACTATGGATGTCTATACGGTACTTCAGAAATGATAGCTGTTCAGCATGATTCTAACATATTTTAACTGTTTGATTTTGCAGAAGCATTCTGGTTTATACTTTCTCCGGGTCCAACGTCAAGTATTTTTATTTTTACAGTGTCTGCACTTACAGTTTTTTTTGAGCGCTGGAAAGGTGGTTTACAATATTTTTGCGGTCCTGTTTGGTACCCAAAAAGAAACTCAAAACAACGTGGCTTTGCAGTGCGGCAGCCGCCGGCAATGAGTGGCGGTAGCGTCAAGCAGCGAAGAACCACCCAAGTCTTTCCTATACCTCGGTTTCAGGAACTTCAACACTCACATTGCTATATACAAATACATACAAATACATAGATAGACGTACATTAGTTGTATATAGATATCAGATAGTTAAAGTATATCTCCACATGCTAGATATATTCATTAAACCGGCCCCCAAAAGGCAGGCGCCAAAGTGGTAAAAAAAAAAGCGCCTTGCAGATCCTTGCAGGTCATGGCGAGGAGTCCGTTTCAACGGCATTGAGCAGTCATTCTCTTCCAAACCAAATGACCGAGTCCGTCTCGACCTTGACCAGCCGCCCCAGCCGACGGGCTGCCACTACGGGCGTATCGTCGGCTTCAAGGATGGATCAGCACAAGAGATTGGTCAGAGTTTTCCTGCAAACCAATGATTACTTGCATCCAGGCAGCAGTTTTTGTTAACCTCAGATGGTCCCAAGTTCTGAGAAAATCGCTCCCTAGCGCACTTTCTGATGAACTCATTCCTGCTGTGAGAACATGTGAGAACGCCAGAAACCTACCTCTATTCAGCCAAGGCATGTGAATGAAGGTAAGCAGTCCTGGGGATATACTTGTGCCGTGGCTTCGAGGGACCGTTTGTGCTGTAGGTTTCTGTCCGTTCTTGATGTCCCAAAAGGTCCCAAAAATATCGTCTTGAGACCTGCCTTTTGGAATCCTTTTGGCAGTTTGTTGGAAGAAAAATGGGCGTTGCTCTCTCTCTCTCTCTCCTCTCTCTCCTCTCTCTCCTCTCTCTCTCTCTCTTTTTTACGGAAACCATATTCACCCCATTTCACCCTCAACTTTCCAAAAGGTATCCAAACAGAACCGGGCTACTGTATCTTTACAACATGAATCATAATGGAAATTAATTGCAGTTCTTGAGTCGCTGTCTCTCTTTGTCCCCTCAGATCCTTTCTGACTTTTTGTGTGGCAATATTTGCCACCAAAATGAGGCAAACCTAATCTGATAGAGTACGAATAGTGTCTCTTCCTTTTCATTCATTTGTCAAGTAATTCGACCCTGTCATAGTATATATATATATATGTACACACGTAGTCAATCTAAATTAAGATTCATATTAGATAAATATAAAAATATAACTTTTGCCTGGTTAAAAAAAAAACACACATCCATGACAGAAGCAACCAGGCCCGGGATCCATTTTTTCATATTTTTTTCGCAGAAGCTTCCTCAGGTTACCCCTTGCACACGGCGGTGCGCCAGAAGAAACCTGCAGTAGTCAAGGCTTTGTTTCTGCCCTGATTCATGGCCAAAAACATTGAGTTAAGCAAGAAAAGTGGTTGGGGATGTAATAGGATTATCATGCGGATATAATTAGTGACTAAGTGGGGATATAATGATTGTGATGGGCATAGAATCAATGATGATCCCATGCCCCAAGTCTAGTTGAGTAGGACAACTACGATATATGGTAGGTATATTTTGAGCAATGTATATGCAGAAAACCCTGCAGTAAATTAGCCATTAGCCTTTTCTTCTGGAATCTTCATGCATATCCACCTTTCTGATCCTTCCTGAGATCATGGATTTCCAAGAGTTTTCCCCAACAAAATTGGCTCCAGTGCTACACATGGGGTTTTTGGATGTTTTTGGTGGGGCTTCATGGCGGGGATTCCTACTGGCAAAGGCCGATTGGTGAATAATAGCTGGAAATGCTTCCGTGTAGGGCAATTTCATGGCGAAGAATCCCATCAAATGAAAGTTTCTTTTTTTTTGGGTTCGTGCATGTGTGTGTGTGTGTATGTGTCTATAGTTGTTTATATATTTACATTTATAATCATAATATCTACAAAAAATGACGGAGTACAAAGTTCCTCATAGGGGATCATAGTGATTCACGACCACACGAATAAGTCACCTTTGTCACGGACACAAAACTTGCGATTCTTGTAAGCCAGGCCATTCAAGAGCCACACACTCCCGGCTATGTATCGTACGGACTCCACTTGACACCCGGTGCCCGGTAGTATTGGAGCTATTCATTTCGCGGTCGATGTTTTTTGTCCTCAAAGGGATGGGATGATGCACTGGACCTATCCCATTTCTATCATGTTCCATGCGGAATATCCTTTGTGCACTTGTGCGTTAATAGAACAACCAAAAAGGCAAGTGACATAGCGACCTGTCATTTTTCTGTACGTTTCCTATAAAAACAGGACCATGATCATTTCCAAAATTGGATGATGGGAACATTTTGCAGGAGACCTGAAATCAATGCATTGAATCAAAGTAGTCGGGTAAACCCAGTAGTGAACCACATCTATGTTTGTCCATTTCAATGGGTGGAAATCAAAACCATCAAACATCGGTTTGTGACCATTGGGTTTACCTAATTTTTATACATGTTTTCCACTTATTCATGGTTCATCATTATTCATATTTATTCGGAGTTGTTCAAATTTATTAATCTACAACTATTGGTTTATACCCAGATGATGAACCGCACCATTGCTGTGACCTTTTAATTGCCATTGTGAAACCATAAATAATGATACAGTAACCATGCTTTAACCTATCATTAAACTTCATTAAACTATCACTTATTATATAACTATGACTATTATGATGAACTACTATGAACCACTATTGACCAAGCGTTACCACATTCAATCTCTATTCTCGCTGGTCGCGCCAAGCCGGCACCGTCACCATGGGCCAGGCACTATTGCTCCTGGGAGCTCGTCGGGACTTGAAATACCGTGGCTACACTCCGGAGGAGTGGCTTGTTTGAATTTTCATGCTGAAAATCTGGCTGAAAATCCTTTGACTGAACTGATTGATTTCGGCAACAAAAAAACATGGTGTTTTGATGCTGAAAATCCACGCTTTAATTTTGTAACGTATGTAATTTGTACAACGAGTGGATTTCGATCTTTGGACCTCTATACTCTATTTGTTTTGTCCGTTGGTACATAATCAAACATGGCAATTGAACATCTTCTTTTAATGGGACAATCCTCCAAAAATAATGGAGGATTCTATTAAAAAACAAAAAGTTTGATTACTTGAAGGTAAATAATCATTAGTTACACCATGTTACACCTAATCAAGTTCTTTCACGGAGTATATTCAAGTCAGACATCATTATATTAATAAGTTCTATTAATTTCTATTACATATGCTGTTGGTTTACACTTGAACTGTAGCTTGGTTTATTGCGTATCGAACTTCAGTATAGGAAATCTACAATAAACCACTGTTAAACCCTCAGTACAGAGTGCTGCAGAAGAAGGGGCGAAGCTGCCTAGGTATGCCGAACGAAGACAACGGCGATGGGGCGGCTATGACGATGTCCTTAAAGTTTTTGAGGAAACGTGTGGGACAATCAACATCCACAGGCGGCTAAACTGCAGGGATGCACTTTATTTCTGGGGATAACTTGAGACTGTTGAAGATGTTGAAGTAATGGGTATGGCTCGAAATGGCGTGCAATGAAGTTTGGATGGAGTTGTATCTACAGAACACATGAACAAACTGTCCACCATTTGGACATTTGCCAGCCAAGTAGTTATTTGTAGGTGGGGCATGGTGGGGCAATGTGACTATGTAGGACCATTGCTCTGTGAACTTTCTGGGGTGCACTTTCTAGGAGCCGAGTCCTGGACCCAAGAGCTTGTGGATGGTTGCGAAATCCTGCAGCATTTGGTGACTATTAACTATGAAACACAATGAAAAATTGGATTATAATTGGGACAAACCGTCAACTATTCATGGGATTTCTTCCATCCACAGTATGAAGGCTATGGGCCATAGATGGTGAGACGGAAATCTCCAATCTCATGACCCATGTCATGTTCTGCATCCGATGCGGCATCGCCCACAATGGCATATCCCATGAAAATCTATGTAGAAATAGAGGTTTCCATGGGAAAATCATGTACAAAGGGTGAATTTTCCATTGCCACGTTTGATTACCGGAGTGTAAATCGGCCAGCTCATCGGCAGGCCGCGCGGAAATGCGGAGTCAGAAGTCTCCGCAGTCTCCGATGAAAGTGCTGGTGAGGTGACGGTTGAGCTGTGAGCGACGCCGATAATTTTTATTTTCTAAAAATGTTTGCTGGGTTGGTCTCAGGTCTTGGGGGACCCATGGGGACCCATGGGGACCCTCATTTGGGTCGCAAAGTGAAACAACAACATCCGAAACTGGCAATCTTGAGATGGATAATCATGCAGCAGATCGGTTTAGGGCACCCAAGCTTGAGACGTGCCCACTTCATGCCAATGATGAACTGCTGGTGAAAAGGTCGTCTCAAGGGAAAATCAATTCTGAAAGGAATCATCCTGCATTCTTGGAGGGGATTGCCCCAAAAAGATCGTAAGATCCAAAAACAATTGGAGGAAGACCAAGCAAAACCATCAGTTCAGTGTTGGATTGCTTATCCCGAGCAACAGTCTCAGGAAAACAGCGTCTCGTCGGGGATTAAAGGCTACTGTGGCTGAGTTTGAAGAATTTTGCTTGTAAGCTTTTGCTGCTCCCTCTTTTTTTTGTTTCTGAGCATTCTTGGATCTCTGACGTGTTCCTAGACGTTCTTCGCATGCCTGCGCGTGAAATGACCTTTGTGTGTGGCAAAGTCGTTGCGCTTTTGACCACAGAAAAGGTCATAGCGTGTGGGTTAATAATTTGCAGCTGCGTGGTTCCACATTGGTTCCATCGCATTGAACGTGGCTCATGTTATCCAATGATCTGGGTACATGGGAAATTCTTTTAGACCTGAGATCCAATATTTTAGTGACCTGCCATGCTCTGACACTATTGATATCACAGTCAGTCGCTATCCTGATGGTAAAGAAAGGACAAACTCCTTCACTTTGGGTCTCGCGCTGGGTAGTCTACGGGATTGGGTCGGTGCAGGAGCACTGAAAAGCGTGCAGCTACAAAAGGAGCAGACAGATGCATTCCTTCCGATTGAGTCCAAACACATCCAAATATACGTATACACATATTCAAACAGCCCGAGACTGGGTCAATGAAAAAGTATATCAAATTATTTGTATATATAATATAATATAATCCCATATTTTTTTGTTTTGATCTCAACATATTGTCGGCCCACAAAAAATATAGTTGGTTTGTGTGTGTGCGTGTGATTTTCATCACAGATATTTCGGTTACCATTCAGCCAATCTCTCAGTGCCACTTGGCGCACACAATGTTTTGCAGTTTAGCATGGCGATTCAGCCAGCTTGGGGGTGCCGTTCCACTAAGAATATAGGGGCCCCGTATTCAAAGTTATGGTGGTAAATTTCCTATGGTTAAACCGGTTATAGTACCCCATGAATGACCCGAACTGCACCCGTTCTCTTTTGGACCGCAGCTCTTTTTCCACTTTGTTTCTCAGTTCCGCGGTGCAATACCCCACGCGTCGCATCGCAATACCATGATGAAAGTCGCATCTGCCCCCTCGTGCAGGCCTGGGGGATCCTTGCGGGTTCTGGGTTAACTGATACAGATACCTTGGTGTAATGTCAACCGCGGATGAATAACCCCTTTTGGATGTTTTTGCGTTTTTTTTTCTAATTTTCAGGGCCACCCAAATTTGCAGATGATCATTGTTTGGTCAGGGACCCCCTCTGACATTACCAACATTCCTCTAAGTCCAGGTGCAACATATGTTGATAAGCCATGATGAGCCAGTGGTTGCAGGTGCCCACCAGTTGTTTTGCCATGTTCATTTGCTTTGGAGAGGTTGTTTCTTTATTGCTACAAATCGGACAGTGGACCGGCTGGTTGTTTGGAGGCATAATACTAAAATGACCTTCACATTTTTAGCTGGGTGGGGTATCAGAATTTACTGTACCAGGGTGGTATGTACAATATTTTTGTTGAGATAAAACTTAGGCCAAAAGCCAAACTCAAGGAATATTCTATTTTATTTATTTATTTAATAAGTTCATCTCATTTTTTAATGATTTTGTTTGTTCAATTTTTGCTTTATGATTTCACTACATTTTGAATATGTTTTTTTGTTTAACTAATGTTTTGTTTATGTTGTTTCTAATGTTTTTAATTATTTTGCTTGATTTGTTTTCATTTTGTTGGTATTGTTTTGTTGTGTTTATGTTGCATTTGTTTTGCCTATTTTAACTTAGATAAACTTTATATAAATCTTATGAACATTTTACAAAGCATTCGAACAAAAATCATAACACAAAATCATTTAAAACACATAAGTTTTGCATAAAAGTTTTGAACACTTTATGACTTTTTCAGACAAGTTGTTTGTTCAAAAAAAACATGTGTCCTAAATTGTAAGTAAAACAAAATGATTTTTTTATGTTTTTTTTTTTAAATCAATGTGGTGTTTCAATGATGTTTGTAGTTTTGTTTTTATTTTGCCTTGTTTTTGCATGTTTTGTATGTTTTTGTAAATGCCAAAAAAATGACAAAATAAAAAAGAAAACCATTAAAAACATATTCAAAACATCTTTAAGACCATCAATTGTACATAAACATTATGAAAACAATATGTTTTTTTTCATGAACAAACAGCTTTTGAAAAACAAACATCTTAAATGGTCATAAATGCTATGTATTATTTATGTTTTGTTAAATGATCGTATTCGAATGCTTTTGTAAAATTTCATTAAATGTATTTTTTAAAAAAAAATCAAAATTAAACAAATGCAAAACACATGTAAAAAAACACATTAACAATCACATAAAAAAATAACAACACATAATTAAAAACAAACATTTAAAAACAATGATAAACAAAATCTTGCACCTAAAAACAAACATTCAAAAAATATAATGAAATCATAAAAGAAATTATTTATGTTAACCCCTGTTTTAACCATATCCAAACTCATAACAATATTTATCAATATTTATAGAACTTGAATTGCACAATGCTGCACACATATTCTACACAAATCAAATTATATGCATATACAGCATATACATCCTTTTGCATTTACATTTGCACAGATTTAATCATATTCACACATGTGATCCTGTTCATTTGATTACATATGCGTCATATGCGTTTAAAAATATATATATATATATGTTTATAATTATATATATAACAAATTAAAACAGAGCATGACCTTCAACGCACAGGCCATCCATCTTCGTTTCAGATTTTGAAGATTCGCCCGGCATAGGCGGATCCGGTGCGGGCAAACCCTCTGAGAAGCCCGGGAAAAAAATGATGAAAAAGGCATGGGGGATACCCTTGAAATGAAAATGTTAATAATTCAGAAACATGGTGATAAATGACGAAGGATGGAGTTTTCTGAGGAACTTTGTTCATTTTTGGGGTGGGTGTGAATATCACAATGGTGGGTTTTACCATCAAATGTGTGGATTGAACTGGAATCAATTGGGACTTAGGGGAAAACGTACGTCCTTTATTTGATTCCAGTTTTATTTTTTGGGGGGTATGCTTTGGGGATTCCAACAAGATTTATAATTATAGGATTATCATGGTATATACTGACAATTATATGATTTTTGGGTGTGCACAACGAAGCAAAACTTGGGGATACGGGATACCCTTCAAATGAGTTTATATATATATATATTATAGAAAATGATGAACATTGATAAATCAGTGCACTTACGGACCCTATTATCATATCTTTCGATGCCACATGTTTAACTTATTGTATGGAACTTTGTAAGGCGCTTTGAAGAATTGGGGAATATTGGGGATACCCGGGTACCCTAATTGATGGCCATTTAAACGGTGATATGCTTTTGTTTGCACACATGTAACGGAATAGAAAGGTGTGATGTTGTGACCCTTTTAGTATTGCCGAACAAGTTGTCGATTTTTGAACACAAACACTAAGCCAAACATTTCCGTTCGAAATTAAAGTTTATATTAGACTTCGCTGTTCTTCCATTGGTTTGAAGTTGAATTAGACTTCGCTGTTCTTTTGATGTTCAGGAAGGTCCCGAAAATTGGAACACTTGATTAAGGGGGTAAAACATTGCTTTTTTATTGCAATTCCGAGGTGGTTCAAGGTTCCCCCCTTTGCGCGTTTTTTTTTCGTTGCATTCTAAAATAAGGGTTTTGTAAAGAAATCAATGCATTCAGATCTAGGATTTAAATTTTAATTCATATATTTGATGTCATATTCTAAAAAATCAGGAGGAGAAAAAAGTCAGACAAAAAAGGGGAAAACACATCACCATACATCACCCCAAAAAAGGGTTGGCAGAGTTGATTTTGGGGTGGCTTCATTTTTTCAGCCTGGCGGTTGGCGTACTTTTCCTGCGGCGGGGTTTATGAACTTGATGTGAACATTAGCTACACATTATAAGTGACTGTATAGGTGTAGTTGTGTTTTTTTTTCTACATGTAATCTCACAGGTATTCTTAAGGCTCTCGAAGGCCAGCACGCGTCTCTCGTCGCTTACCTGCCACAGGTAGCCAGTCAACGAGAGACTCCAGGGTTGCTGACAGGTTTTCGTCTTGGAAAAGTCGAAGTAGCTCGGTCCGGAAAAAGGAAAACAATCGAATGATGAACATCCTGGGGCAAATTAACATCGATGTTGAAAATTACAATTTTATGGGTAATTCATCCATACATGATATAGATGGATATAAATGGATATAAATGGATATAAATGGACATAAACGGGCCATTTTCCACATCTATGTTAGTTTACCCGAGTGTAATCCCATCCAATTGTATGGTGAAACTAGGCTTTCTGAGGGCTTAATGTTGGGGGAAAGCATCAATACGATGTGCAAGGCAGGTGTGCTCAATCCACAGGGGGAAATCGGAGATTTTAAGAGTCAAGCGTTGCCTGCTCCGCACATGACCAGATGCATGGGCAGCTCAGGCTCTCAAGGGTGACTTTTTAGCCAACATTATGGAGGAAAGCATGCATATTCACTAAGATGTTTCATATGTTTCTTCGATTTTTTGTTTTGTTTTTGGATTGTCTCTAAGGTAATATTACGGCCAGGCGCTGTGTGTTGCCCGGAAGGTTCAAATGGCGCTTAAACACTATCCTTCAACATGCTCAAACACCTGCGCAAGGCCAGTGCTTTGAGATTTCCCAGACGACGAACCCTAAACCCTAAAACCCTAAACCATCCTAAACCCTAAAACCCCAAACCCTAAACCCTAAAACCTAAGCCCTGAAAACTTTGAGGCCTAAACTAGAAAATACTGCGTATACGCAGTATTTTCTGCAATCTCTCCTATCATATATTCGACAACACGACATTCTCAATGTTAATGTTTGGGCAACACACGGCGTTTGTGGGTAATATTATAAGGAGAACCATTCGGTGATTTTACAGCGAGAACCTCCCAGCTGCTTAACTCCCGAGGCGAGGCCGGCAGCGTTGTGGTGACCAAAGCGGAACAACGGAAGATCATTGTGCGATCCTTTCTTGTGACCTGGTTCACACCCATATGTCATATGAGCAAGGGTCAAAAGACGCTATGAAAGGCTTCAATTACGATCCGCCATCACTACTCAAAATATGTGATTTACTGTGTGTAGCGATAGGGGGCCTTATGTAGCGATACCTCTTTTTAGACTTTGTTTATGATTGAAGCTTCCTGTTGGGCGCATGACTTTCCAATCTTTTGATGTCAGAGTGCGACACTGGAGCAGTCGCAGTGGGCTGGTCTTCCTGGGTAGTTGCAAGATGGCCTGCCGTCAAGTATATATGAGATAGTTACATTAAACAATATTGATATATTGGGGTATGTTGATCTATAAGGTATGCAAGAAACTAATTCATAACGCATCATGAGCTTGATGATGGTGATGATGCTGATGATGATGGTGATGGTGATGATGTTGATTCAGATAGTGACCGTGCTGAGATATGTTGAAAAAGCATCCTTGTGCGGTCACGGACGCTTCTCCAAAGCCACTGTCCAGGAGTAGAATTGCAACATGGAGCTTGTCAGAATTTCGTGTCACTTGAAACATACACCTGAGATCACACATTTTCTGGTCCCCGTAGCGATGCCCGAAGCGATACCCCTCGATACCCAGAGCGATACCTGAAATCCATGAAATTAGGGAGTACCCCACATGGTCACTTGAAACTATACAACTTGTGCTATAGGTGGAAAAATATGGGAAGTATGAACAAGGGTACCCTCAAGTTCTTACTGGGTTAGTTCTTAAAGGGTTCATTTGGTCAGGGTTTTGCCGATTCATTTTGGCGTGGTATTAGGTTGCAAAAAGGAGGCGGGGTGAAGAAAAAAAGGCGCCGGAAACAAGGCAGCACAGGCAAGATAAGCCAAGACAAGCCAACACAAGCCAAGGGCAGCCTCCGAGGTCAGATGACCTGCAGTGAGTCCGGCTGGTGTCTAGCTGAAGCTGTCGACGTCAGCCTTGGTGATCAAGTAAAAGTTTGAATTTCCCTGGAGATACCATCGCAAGGGGAATAAGAATCCGATTCCTCATCTGGATCCTCCTCTTCTAGCAGCAATTCTGCCTAGTTGGTGAAAAGGGTGCTGGGACTGTGTGTAGCGATAGGGGGCCTTATGAAGCGATGCCATGACCTCACCACATGAATTGAGTTTTGGCCGTCGCACATATATGGCACATGTAATAACATGTATATATCATTTGATATCTATTTATAGAACATATGTGCAATATTTGCATCTAACTAGGTTTATCTATTTGTTTGTCTGTTTGTCTGTCTATGTGTCTATCCATGTAGGCATGACTAGTACGATATATATATATTATATATAATCACACACACATATATATATATAATCACATATGTATATATATATATACATGCATAGGTATAGCTGGGAAAGCTCGAATATTCTGGTTATCTATGTGGTGGTATGTATCCATGGGACTGGGAAGTTCTGGGAAATCGTGCCCAGGGTTGCACATGGACCAAGCGGTGAAGTGAGAGCATTTTCGGGGTAAGATCCCAGAACATGATGTGTTCTGGACCGAAAGTGGGGATAGTTCCATGGATTGTACGTGATTTTACTACCAACAAATACGGAGAGATCATCATGGGAATGATGGGAAACAATAATTTTTGGGTAAGACTTCATCAATTGGGCTGTTTGATACCTCAATCTCTTGCCACAAGCGGGGCAATGCCCAGTTGAGCCTATATTTTTGCGGGGGTTCCAAGATGAGTGATGAAGATGCGGTTTCACTCACCTAACCAGAAGATAGGGTTGAACCCTTCAACATGGGTCGTTTGGAACCTGCAGAACTATGGGTGCAATTCTGCAGGGGTTGACCAACCATACTCGAACAAATAGATCCAGTAGCAAACCCAAGCTTCTAGAGGACTTTTCGTATGAAGGGGGAGGGATTAATCAAACTTGGCAATCAAAAATCATAGAACCTTCCCAGCCATAAAAGAAAACATCATCCATTGAACAGCTGCTTTTGCAGCACGCAATTGCTGCAGCTTCGGGGGAAGTTATCGTGATCCATCGTTTAGCCAGCTAAGGAGATCGCTATTCAAGATACAGTAAGATCATATGTTCAATGAATACCATCTAAACACTATTAAAACCAGCACAACTCCAGTTTTTCAACGGTATCTTTAGCCCAGGAATCGAACGGCTTCATGCACATCAACGAAGCCAAAAGCCGCTGGGGAAAGGCATGTCACTTGGCATTGCGAAGTCGAACGTGCTCACTCGAGAGAAGCAACGTTATAGACGATGATACATACAAAAAGGGATGGTTGCCCTCTTTGGTCATCTAACCAGAGCATGCTCATGTTTCATGAGCTTAGTTATCGTTTTTTCCAATGAATTTTGCATCTTCAGATTGGCCAATTAGATCAATTGGAGATTATATTATAATTATAATGTGATTGAGGCAATAGTAAGTCCTCAATATTTGATTGATACACCCTTTTTTTTGTGACATTGGAGATGGTTTATAGCGTTCAGCTTGCCACATGATTGCAACATTCATTAGTTACCCAGTAGTTATCCATGACTCATCCACTAATCATCCACCAATTATGGCCATAATCTGTGGTTCATGACCATGATCATTCATTTAAAAAACTATGTATAGGTGATTGGATCCACGGATCATAGTCCATAGTGATAGTTCATCCAGTATCCAGCATCATGGTCATCATTTTTTGATCCACTAAAACGCAGGTACTGTACCATATAATATAAGGCCATATTTTGTGGGGATATTCCCTTCTATAAGCTGCACCATAAATCGGACCTCCCATAAATCGCTTCCTCGAGCCCCAAGGCTATCCATTGCATGCTGCCGTGCGTCTCAAGAAGTCCTCCATGGTGAAGGCTCCGGGAGATCCGATAGAAATTCTTGGAAAATCTTGGGAAACATATGGGAAACATGTGGGAAACATATAGGAAACATATGGGAAACATATAGGAAACATATAGGAAACATCTGGGAAACATCTGGGAAACATCTGGGACACATATAGGAAACATATGGGAAACATATAGGAAACATATAGGAAACATATGGGAAACATCTGGGAAACATCTGGGACACATATAGGAAACATCTGGGAAACATCTGGGACACATATGGGAAACATATGGGAAACATATAGGAAACATATGGGAAACATCTGGGAAACATCTGGGAAACATCTGGGACACATATAGGAAACATATGGGAAACATATGGGAAACATCATGGGAAACATCATGGGACACATATAGGAAACATATGGGAAACATATGGGAAACATATGGGAAACATATAGGAAACATATGGGAAACATCTGGGAAACATCTGGGACACATATAGGAAACATATGGGAAACATATGGGAAACATCTGGGAAACATCTGGGAAACATCTGGGAAACATCATATAGGAAACATATGGGAAACATGTGGGAAACATATAGGAAACATCTGGGAAACATCTGGGAAACATCTGGGACACATATAGGAAACATATGGGAAACATATGGAAACATATGGGAAACATCTGGGAAACATCATGGGAAACACATATAGGAAACATATGGGAAACATATGGGAAACATATAGGAAACATATAGGAAACATAAACATATGGGAAACATCTGGGACACATATAGGAAACATATGGGAAACATATGGGAAACATATAGGAAACATATAGGAAACATATGGGAAACATCTGGGAAACATCTGGGACACATATAGGACACATATGGGAAACATATGGGAAACATATAGGAAACATATGGGAAACATCTGGGAAACATCTGGGACACATATAGGAAACATATGGGAAACATATGGGAAACATATAGGAAACATATAGGAAACATATAGGAAACATCTGGGAAACATCTGGGACACATATAGGAAACATATGGGAAACATATGGGAAACATATGGGAAACATATAGGAAACATATGGGAAACATCTGGGAAATATCTGGGAAACATCTGGGAAACATATCGGAAACATCTGGGAAACATATGGGAAACATATGGGAAAACATATAGGAAACATATGGGAAACATGTGGGAAACATATAGGAAACATATGGGAAACATATGGGAAACATCTGGGAAACATATAGGAAATATCTGGGAAACATATAGGAAACATATGGGAACCATATGGGAAACATATAAAGGAAACATGTGGGAAACATCTGGGAAACATATCGGAAACATCTGGGAAACATATGGGAAACATATGGGAAAACATATGGGAAACATATGGGAAACATGTGGGAAACATATGGGAAACATCTGGGAAACATATCGGAAACATATGGGAAACATATGGGAAACAGGAAACATATAGGAAACATATGGGAAACATCTGGGAAACATCTGGGACACATATAGGAAACATATGGGAAACATGTGGGAAACATATAGGAAACATATGGGAAACATCTGGGAAACATCTGGGACACATATAGGAAACATATGGGAAACATATGGGAAACATATAGGAAACATATAGGAAACATATGGGAAACATCTGGGAAACATCTGGGACACATATAGGAAACATATGGGAAACATATGGGAAATATATAGGAAACAGGAAACATATGGGAAACATCTGGGAAACATATGAGAAATATATAGGAAACATATAGGAAACATATGGGAAAACATATAGGAAACATATGGGAAACATGTGAGAAACATATAGGAAACATATGGGAAACATCTGGGAAACATATGGGAAACATCTGGGAAACATATAGGAAACATCTGGGAAACATATAGGAAACATATGGGAAACATATGGAAACATATAGGAAACATATGGGAAACATATGGGAAACATATAGGAAACATATAGGAAACATATAGGAAACATATAGGAAACATATGGGAAACATCTGGGAAACATCATGGGGACACATCTGGGAAACATCTGGGAAACATATGGGAAACATATAGGAAACATATAGGAAACATATGGGAAACATACGGGAAACATATGGGAAACATATAGGAAACATATAGGAAACATAAAGGAACCATATGGGAAACATGTGGGAAACATATAGGAAACATCTGGGAAACATGTGGGAAACATATAGGAAACATATGGGAAACATCTGGGAAACATATGGGAAACATATGGGAAACATCTGGGAAACATCTGGGAAACATATAGGAAACATCTGGGAACCATCTGGGAAACATATAGGAAACATGTGGGAAACATCTGGGAAACATATCGGAAACATCTGGGAAACATATGGGAAACATATGGGAAAACATATAGGAAACATATGGGAAACATGTGGGAAACATATGGGAAACATCTGGGAAACATATAGGAAACATATAGGAAACATATAGGAAACATATGGGAAACATCTGGGAAACATATGGGAAACATATGGGAAACATATGGGAAACATATAGGAAATATCTGGGAAACATATAGGAAACATATGGGAACCATATGGGAAACATATAAAGGAAACATGTGGGAAACATCTGGGAAACATATCGGAAACATCTGGGAAACATATGGGAAACATATGGGAAAACATATGGGAAACATATGGGAAACATGTGGGAAACATATGGGAAACATCTGGGAAACATATCGGAAACATATGGGAAACATATGGGAAACTGGAAACATATGGGAAACATGTGGGAAACAGGAAACATATGGGAAACATGTGGGAAACAGGAAACATATGGGAAACATGTGGGAAACATATTGGAAACCGATGGGAACCACATGGGAAACAGGAAACATATGGGAACCATATGGGAAACATATTGGAAACAGATGGGAAACATATGGGAAACATATAGGAAACATATGGGAAACATATGGGAAACATCTCGGAAACATATAGGAAACATATGGGAAACATATGGGAAACATCTAGGAAACATATAGGAAACATATAGGAAACATATGGGAAACATATGGGAAACATCTGGGAAACATATAGGAAACATATGGGAAACATATATGGGAAACCGGAAACATATGGGAAACATATGAGAAATTCTGTGAAAACCAATATAAATGGAACGTGATTATAGCAGGGAAAATGCGAGAACCTCAGTCGATAAATGGGAGATTCACCATGGAGACACACTAAATACATGGAGGTTTGTAGATGTGGAAAGCTCATCCAAAAAATGTTGCGGGGAAATGTCCAGCAAGCCGTGGCAATGAGTGCTGGTAAATTGTACAGGTTTAAGACGCACGCACACACACATATACATATATATATATAGATATATGTAATAGTTGTTTTTATTATCATTATAACTATTATTTTTGCGAGGGAGTGAGTGAAATGTTATATATATGCAAATGTGTTTGTTCATTTGTTTAATGCATACAGAAAAAATGATAGAATAAATCACACACAGGTGTATATATATATATACATGTACACATGTCGCCCCCTGCTTGCTGCGTACCATTTGTTTGTGATTGATCTAGCTTAGCTGCCACTGAGCCACAGTTCCAGGAGCTGTTTTGCTGAAGCCCCGAAAAAACCGGGCTCACAGCCAAACAAGCAGGAGAAAGGTAGGTATATGTCGCAATCAGAGATGCCACTTGCAAGAAAGATCACAAAGATCATGTTCATTCGAAATCATCTAAGAACTCTCAGGCATCTCCAGCCCAACCCCTGAACCAGCGGCGCCTGTGAGGCACTGCTGCAATTGGGTGCACGACGTGATGTGAAATACAGGGGCTACACTCCTGCGCCTTGTCTTGGAAGTGACCCGTGTAGAACTGGCATGATCCCATTTGGATCCATTTGGCAAGTGTCACAAAAGCCATGTCCGGTGGTGGTCATTTATTTTCCAACCTTCCTTGTTTTCCGTCTCTTCCGTTATAATAAAGCGCCAGGAGGAGTACGCCCAGCAGAAGCATCACCGTTGGGGAGGTTATGAGGATGTTCTCAAGATCTTCCAGATGCATATCCCAGTGCAGCTGCTTGGCGCATCGTGTAGCCTGCAGATCCGCCGCAAATTGCGGAAGCCCAAGACTCATGTGGGTCCCAATAGTTTAATAAATGAAACCTTTGATGTGTTTGTAACGTTAAATCCCCAGAACAACGCTGTACATTTGCTATTGTATATATAAATGTATATATATATATATATATTTAAATGTAAATAAAGTATATAAATAGTTTTAAACAGTTCATAATATATATATATATATGTGTGTGTTTAACATGTTTATACATACATACAAACATACAAACATACAAACATACATACATACATACATACAAAGACACATACACACAACATACAGAGACACACACACACATATCATACACACATACGCACACATACACACACAAATACACACACACATACATACATACATGCATGCATACATACCATGCATGCATACATACATACAGACAGACAAACAGACAGACATACAGACATACAGACATACAGACATACATACACACATACACACATACACACACATACATACACACATACACACATACACACATACATACACACACATACACACATACACATACACACACATACATACACATATACACACACACATACACACACACACATTCACACACACATACACACACACATACACACACATACACACACATACACACACACACATACACACATACATACATCCATGCATGCATGCATACATGCATACATGCATACATGCATGCATACATGCATACATGCATACATGCATACACACACACACACACGCACGCACGCACACACACACACACACACGCACACACACACACATACACGCACACGCACACACACACACACACTTGCTCAGAACTGTCATTGCGAATTCTGGGGTGGAATGCATCTTATGTGCAAAAACACTTCCATTAAACCTGACAGGAATGGGTCAGTGAAGAGAACCGACAAAGGTATCAAGGAGCTGCCATCGCCATAGCCAGTGTTGTTGCCAAATTGAAAGTGTTGGAACAAGAAAGAATCCAAATGATGGACATGCCGGTTCTAGGCTTAGCCAGTTGCCATTGACAAAAGAAACGCTGAAATTGTTCTGCAGGTACGTCACCAGGCGTCCCTGGTGATATCCTAGGATCATATGAGGAGCTTCGTTGGATGGAGCCTCATATGTCCTCTCATATGTCCTCTCCATCCCCCTGCAAGGATAAAACGATAACACTAGATGCCTAGAGGCGAAAAAACACAGGTTAGAAGTTTTACATCTCTTCAGGTAGTTCACATACACTCACATACACACATACACACATACACACACACATACACACACAACCACAAATACACACACATACACACACACACACATACACACATAGATAGGTACTGTAGATAGCTAGATAGACAGATAGATAGATAGATAGATAGATACATAGACAGATAGATAGATAGATAGATGGATAGATAGATGGATGAATAGGATAGGATAGGATAGGACAGGACAGGACAGGATAGGATAGGACAGGACAGGATAGGATAGGATAGGATAGGGTAGAAAGATAGATAGATGATAGATATTTATTTGTGCATCCAATGACCGTAGAAATATGTAGTTATATATGCACAATGATGTTATTACATGTCATTCTATGCGTGCATGTGTAGATGTATATATATATATATAGATACAGAAGTGATTGAAGAAACCCAGTGCCAACTCATACTCCATCATGTCACTAGTCAAGATTACAAGTTTCAACGTTACAAGTTTACAAGATGATGTTCCTCTTGAACGTGTTCTAAGTGATTTTTTTTATGTGTCCTTTCCATATTACACCACTCCAGTAAAAAGCACTGAACTCGTTCCAAAATAGTGATGCGTTTATCGACATAACAGACATATTTATATATATATACATTCATGTTTATACATTCGTTTCTATACATATGAACTTATTACAGCAGAGCAACATGTCTCAGGGACGTGTCTAGATACGCCACCAGCCGAGGATGCCGAGTCGAGAAGAATGCGAACCGACTTCAGAAGCTTGAAAACCTATTTACTGGTTGGTGGTTTGGAACATTTGTGATTTTCCATATATTGGGAATAACCATCCCAACTGACTAATATTTTCAGAGGGGTTGAAACCACCAACCAGTTGTGATCGGTACCAATGTGTTCTTCATTCCACGCGAAATATACCTATTAAATACATGTGTTTTACCGATATCTATACTTGTGTGATATATCATTTGCATGTGTACATGTGTGCATGCAATATATATATATATGTATATATATATATTTATTTATTTATGTTTTAACTACTATATTAGTTTTGCATATAGACATATTTACACATGCATATAGACACAAATATATAAATAAATATAAGAACATATATGCATACTATAGAGATACCAAGGCCACCAAGGAGACAAGAGAGCTAATATATATATATATAAATGTGTATTAGATTCAATGATAAACAAAGTGTTGGAGATTCCATGGTGGATGTTGATTTGGTGAATCACTCCCAGCGATTTGGTGACAGATGTCCCATCTCCAAAGATGGCCATGGGAAATCCATGGGAAATCTCTATAAATGGAAGGTCTAATGGGAAAATCATCTTTAAACATGGTGAACATCTATAATTGGGACAATCTATAAATAT